AGGTTTTTTTTTTTTTTTTTTTTTCAACCTGCCAAATCAGTCAGTAAGCATTAAATAAAGCAAAGTTATCGGCAATGAAAGGAAGCTGTCAGTAACAATGCAGCACTGAAGCTTCTAAAAGAACCAGTGCTAGTCAGCCTGTTTGCTAGGTTCATTAACAGAACAGAGGTGCCATTAGGCAGGTATTAATTAGAAGATAGGAGAAGCTGGCCTCTATGTCCACTGGAGGTACAAGAGGAGAAAAGCGCCTTCAGATAGAAAAAGTGTAATTTTTTACAAAGAGAATCAAAACAGAGTGGACACCTATGACTTAGTCTGCTCAGCCTTTCAGAAATGCTCCCTTCTCCACACCACAGGCACTACTGCAATTTGTGACTTTGTCTACTGTTCACTTGGGTAGCCCAGGAGTGGGAATCAGATCCTAGATGATGAAATGCAGATTTCTAAGATATAGAAATTGAATGTTTTAAGGAAACATATTTCTTGCCAAACAAAGCTGAGAAGGAGAGAAGTTTTACAGTGAAAATCCACACAGATGCACAAGCAGATGCCTAGAGGCAAGTGATCACTGAAGAAGCAGAGAATCTCACAGGCTTCAGGCTCAGTGTTGCTGAGCCCAGCCTCAGCATGTCCTGGGGACTTCAATATCATCATTGAATTGTCTTTTTGATAGAAGCTAGTTTGAGTTGGTCTTGCTATTGAGACGAGAACAAAAATCCCTATATAATATGCTCAGTGTATTTGATGTTTTCAACAAATAGCCAATATGCTAATGCTACATATACCTAATCTTATTAAATCCTCACAAAAACCTTTGCAAGGTTGTTAATATTGCTTCAAATAAAAGGAAACTTTAGAATCCAACAACCCCAAATATATAATTCTACTTAGATCTTTTACAGGTATTTGAAATCAACACATCTGACAGAACTATTTCTCCATCTGTAAAATGAAAAAGGCTGTTCTTGCTGACTGAAATGCTCTTCCATCTACATATGTCCACCTTTCCTCCTAGAAGTGTTAGCTTAATCATCCTCAGAGAAGCCTGCTTTGCCTTCCCAGTCTACAGTAGGCCCTCTGTTAGCACTGCTATTCTCCTCACCAACAACTATACTTACATATGCAAGGTTTTGTTTAGTTCTTTTGCACACTTTGCATTATACAAAGAACTTAATTAATTAATTATATAATGAATTTTATTTGCCATTCTAGCTCTTGCATCTAGCACAGTGCCTGAAACAGGGAGGATATCCCACAAATGTATTTAAATAAATTAGATTTTTTTTTTGTTAAAGATTCATTTAATTTGTGTGAAAGGCACAGTTGCAGAGAGAGAGAGAGAGAGAGAGAGAGAGAGGTCTTCCATCTGCTAGTTCACTCCCCAAATGGCCACAATAGTCAAAACTGGGCTGGATGGAAGCCAGGAGCTTCTTCCAGGTCTCTCATGTGGGTGCAGGGGCCCAAGCACTTGGGCTGTCCTCTATTACATTCCCAGGTGCATTAACAGGGAACTTGGTAATAAGTAGAGCAGCCAGGACTAGAATTGGTTCCCATATGGGATGCCAACACTGCAGGTAGCAGCTTACCCCACTACACCACTTTTTTCTTTTTTTAAATTAGACTTCTAAATGTTTACTTTCATGTTTTCATGAGGCTAAGCTCAATAACTTTCAACACTTATTTATTGAGTGATTAGTACATGCAGGGCCCTGTGTTAGGTCCTGATACAGCTTTACTCCATATAATGTTCCCTCTGTACCTAATAGACCTTCTTCTTTCTCCAAGCTACACTACTTTATCTATTTGAAATTTTTATAAACACTTTACTGTAAGAAGAGAAAGCAGCTACTCCAACCATGATGGACTAGATCCATCAAGCATTAGGTTCTTTTCCCTATCCATTATATACAGTGACTTAATGATACCACTAACAGTCAAGTGGCAGATAAGGAGCAGGTTTTCACATCTGTTTGGCAACTAATCCCTTAATTCTTTGGGTTAATGAATACCTTAAATTTCTTGTATTAAAGCGATAACAATATTAGCGTTTAAGTCATAATATTAGTAGTAATTGAATTATTTAATCAATTGTATAGCAGTCCCCCCATTATCTATGGTTTTGCTTTCCACGGTTTCAGTTAGCTGTAGTAAACTGCCATGTGAAAATACTAGGTAGAAAATTCCATGTATAAACAATTCATTGTTTTAACTCATGCACTGTGTTCTGAGTAGTATGATGAAATCTGGAGTTGTTCCAGTCCCTCTCACATGGAATAGGAATCATCTCTTGGTCCAGTGTATCTGCTATTTGTGCATTAGTCACTTGGTAGTCTTCTTAGTTATCAAATGCAGTGCTTGTGTTCAAGTAACCCTTGCAGTTGCCTAATGCTATGTCACAATGTCTACATCATTCACCTCAGTTCATTTCATCACAAGAAGGATATCATACCATAGAAGGGTGAGCACAGCACAGTAAGATATTTTGAAAGACCACATTCACATAGCTTTTATTTTAATATATTGGCATACAATTGTTTTATTTGTTAGTTGTTAATCTCTTATGTGCCTAATATATATAAAGTTTATCACAAGTAATGAAAAACATAGTATATCTATATATACATGATGTTATATATATATATATATATATACACACACACACAGTAATATCCAGTTTCAGGCATCTAGTGGAAATATTGTAATGTATCTACCACATATGAGAGGAGACTAGAGGAGACTACATACACTTTTTTAAAAAAGATTTATTTTATTTATTTGAGAGACAGAGTTACAGGGAGAAGCAGAGACACACAGAGAGAGGTCTTCCATCTGCTGGTTCACTACCCAGATAACCGCAATGGCCAGAGCTGAGCCAATCCAAAGTCAGGAGCCAGGAGCTTCTTCTGGGTCTCCCATGTGGGTACAGGGGCCCAAGGACTTGGGCCCAAGGACTTGCCTCTACTGTTGTCCCAGGCACATTAGCAGGAAGCTGGATCAGAAGTGGAGCAGCCAGGACTTGATGGTACCCATATGGGATGCTGGTGTTTCAGGCCGGGGCTTTAACTCACTGTGTGCTACATGCCAGCCCCTACATATCCTTCTAATTTATGAAATAGTTTGCCAAAGTCAGAATAGGTATGTTTTTAAAAAGATTTATTTATTTGAAAGGCAGAGTTATAAAGAAAGAGAGAGAGAGAAGGAGATATTGAGATCTTCCATCTGCTGGTTCACTCCCCAAACAGCAGCAACAGCCAGAGCGGAGCAAATACAAAGCCAGGAGCCAGAAGCTTCTTCTGGGTCTCCCACATGGGTGCAGGGGCCCGAGGACTTGGGCCATCCTCCACTGCTTTCCCAGGTGCATTAGCAGGGTGCTGGATCAGAAGTGGAGAAGCCGGGACTCCAACTAGCACCAGAAGAGGATGCGGGGACTGTAGGTGGCGGCTTTACCTGCTATGCCATAGCACCAGCCCCAGAATAAATATGTTCCTAGACAGTGACATATAAAAGACACAATTCTTTTGAATCTTATAATCCTATTTTTATTACTTGCCTTATGCCATTATGACACTATAAAGACACTGAGCCTGGCTGCTTGCTTCAACCCAGGCCTCTCCAAAGAAACCCAGGCCTATGTTCAAATCAGGTCTTTTTTTCCTTCCATATTTCCAGATTAGCTTTCTCTGATGCTGAAATTAAGGGACAATAGTTTTTGATCTCCTTTAACATTCAAAAGAATGGTCTTCTTTTGAAATACAGTCCCAAGTGTTCTCATTACAATGGGTGGTTTTGAGAACAATTACTTGAGGGCTCTCACTGCTGACTCCTCTCTCCTTTCCTGATGATCTCTAACCAGATGATCACCCCAACACAGGTTAGGGATCATTGCAGTAGTTCCTTTCCAGGAAAGATTAAGTATTCTGTTTCCTATCTCCCCTCTCCTCTCCCCCCCCTCCCCTTGTTCTCTCACTCCTACATTTTCAGTATTCATCAGGAACACTTCAAATAAAACCTCTCTATGGGACTTGCATAGGTATGTGAATGAGGGATTAGGATTGATTGAAGGTAAAAAGTTTTGGCAAACCATCACTATCATTGGTTATCTAGTGAAAATCTTCAAGGAATGCAAGAGGAGGAAAGGCGTTAACATTATGTAATCCTGTACCTTTGTGGCCTCAGGCTTTTAAATATTTAGCACCATAACCATGCAGTGCTCCTAGGTGTCAGACAGAACTCGCTTAAAAAACAAAAAACAACTCTCCTAAATCGCAACAGACAAAAGTTGTCTGGTCCTGAGCTGAAAGAACTATGAAATGGAAAAAAAGAAAGAAAGCAATTGCAAGATTAAGTGTTTTTAAACCAGAAGCATGCTTCTTCCGTGGGTTCATCGAACACTGATTGGCACCCACGGTGAGGGGCCAGTTTTGCACGCCGGTTGAGGCCCCTACTGGCTGCCGAGACAACTCCAACTCTGTTGTTCGTTCACTAGTTTGCTGTTCCAGGTAAGAGGTTCCCTATTTGTAAAACGGACAGAAACACCACAAATTACCTCACAAGGTTGTCAGAGTTCAGTAAGACAAGGTATAGTGCTTGAGAAGACTGGACACTGTCATCAGAGTCATTACTCGTAACCCCAACTTCCTTCCGGCGCCGCGGTCAAAGATCTTGAAAGACCTCTGAGTCGAGTGGGTTCACTTCTTGATTGCATCCTGTCTCCAAAGAAAAGCACAGGAGACCTTAAGGCAAAGGGTGGTCAGAGCCCCAACACGGAGAGGGCAGATCCCGACCTGTGTGATTTTCCAAGGAGACTGACCGGCGCTGCGGCTTGTATATGGACGGGCGCGTCGCTTCTCGGCCTTTTTGGCTCAAATCAAGTGTAAATGGGCGGGCGCCCGAAATTTAAGTTCGCGGGTCTGCGCCAGCTCTACGTTCCTGCCGCGAGTCATCTCCAGAGCGTCCCAGCTCCGTTATCCCGCCCTCTGCAGGCTGACGTCGCACTGGCCTCGCTCCAGGGCTGGTCTTCTGCCACGCCCGCTCCTCCTCACAGGCCGCGCCCGCGGGTCCCCGGGGGAGCACCCTCGCACCCCCGCGGCGCGTGGGCCAGGCCGCCCCATTGCGCATGCTCGGCGCTGCGCGGGTGGGGAGAACGGTGCCGGGAGGCGGGCGCCGGGACTCGGGTCCCGCGGGGCTGAGGAGGCCTCAGCCTGACGCCGGCCACGCAGCGGCGGGAGAGCGATCACCGGGGCGGCGGCGTCCTGGAGACCCCGGAGAGATGGAAGCGGCGGCGGCGCCGGCGGCGGCCGAGGCGGCGATGCACGAGGAGCTAGGTCTGTGTCGGCGTGTGGGCGGGAGGGGCCGCGGGACCCTGCCCCACTCCCGCGCTCCGTCCGTATCGGGGCGGTGTTCTCTGTGTGCGAGACCTGTGATGTGCGGGGTGTTGTGTGTGCATGACGCTCTTAGGGTGTGCGGGTTTGGCACGCGATACCTCTCCTCGGGGTACTCGGGCTGGGCAGAGGCCTGGGTGCTGTCGGCCCCGGGCTCCGCTCCCACGCAGGAACCGGCTGTGTGGCGGACGGGCCTGCTGGTGTCAAGCCGGGCCCAGAGGGCTCAGAAGTGGGTGTGCGCTGCGGCGTGGGGAGGGCGCGGGGTGTCCACGTCGGAAGCCCGCTGGAGCCTGCGCGGTGACTCTCGCGGGTTTTTTCCAGGGATGCTGTAAGGAAGTTGCCGGCGTTTGTGTCTTGCGAACGCGGCAGCCGGTGGCTGTGGCGGGAGCGCAGAGCCGGAGTGCGCGCCGGGCCCAGCGGGAGGTACCTGTAGCTGGCGCACTTGGCCAAGTTCGTCTTCCTGCTTTCCTCTGCGCTGTCCTAGGCGACGGGGCAGCTGCGCGAAAGGAAACACAAGTAAAGGTCAGGGTGGGAAAAATGCCCTCCCAGTTAGGAATTCCACGCTGGATGGTTCAAAGTGAGCTTCAGTTTAAATAACAGGCTGATGATCTTGGAATAGCGTGCATTGCATATTGCAGTTGATTTCTGTTAAATCATAATAGAAGCAATAAATGAAACTTTGTTGAGTGTTTACTGCGTGTAAGCAGTGTGCTAGGTGTTATATATATGCATTGTCTCCTTTAATCCTCACAAGGATTTGGTGAGGTAGTGTAGGGACTATTATTATCCTCGTTTTATAGATGTAGTCACTTAAATTTTATTGGTGGCAGAATCAAGTTATGAATGCAAGTCTAACACAGGTTTAAATTCACAAATCTTGTATTAGTGAAGATGTGGGAAGTGGGTATTCTCAGACATTGCTGGTAGGAACAGCATAATGTACCTTTTATCCTTTGACACAGAAAACATTCCATTTCTTGAGCATTTCCCAAAAGGTCATGTAACAAGTGTGTATATGTCAGGAGATTGTCATTACAGTAGTTGTAATAGAGAAAGGCTGGTAGCTATCTCAGTGTGTAATTAAAGGAAATTGGCTAGGCAGTTGTGATATACAAGGTAGCCATTAAAAGTGGCATCCAAAGATGTTCCTCATATACAATTTTATTAACTGAAAAAAGTTTCAGATTATTTCATTATTTTTTCAGGTTATGTGGGTGCATTTAGCACACATTCCTTGAGCTTCTTCAGTGCACTTGAGATACATTGTGAACAAAGCAAGCTACCATTCTTGTTGTCATGGAGCTTGTTTTTAGTAAGGAGAAGCAGATAGTAAACATTTAAAGGCAATAATCAGCTAGTTATATGCTCTGTGAAAAGTGTTATGGAAAACAAATGCAAGGCAAGAGAAATCAGGAGTGGGCAGTTTACAGTATTTTATAACTTTTATAAAGATGGACTTCACTGAGCAAAGACTTATAAGAGGGAATTAATCAAATGAGTATCTGGGGAAAGACTATCCAAAGAAGAAAAAGCTGCCCTAGACCAGAATAGAAAGGAGGCCCAGGTGACTGAAGCAGAGTGATCAAGGCAGTGATGAGGCCAGGTTTTTTAAGGTGTTGCAGTGCAGGTAAAGACCATGGCCTTCACTCTGAGGGGGTGCCCCGTGACATCAGCTGCTATACATTTTAAGCAGGTTCCTCTGATCCTGTTTTTTCATATGTACAATGAGACTAATGATTTCAACCACGCAGAAGTTTTGTGCTTAGGAAATGATAACGTATATGAAACATAGAGCCCAGTCATTGACATATAAGTAATCCATAAACAACGATTTTTTTCTTCCTACATAATGATATATTAGAAGCATATTATGCTATATAAGATTTTAAAGTGACGATCTTAGGCAAGAAATTAGGACTCATTATTAATAGTAACTAATAATTCTGAGCATTTTTTAGTTACAAAGCATGATATGACTATGCAAAGATGGGTAAAATATGTTTTGTCAGCCAGAAGGAAATAGAGACTAAGAGAAGAGACTAATACTTCAATACCCATGTAGTAAAAGTGCTATCAAAGGGGCCAGCGCTGTGGCATAGTGGGTGAAGCCACTGCCTGCAGTGCTGGCATCCCATCTGGGCGACGGTTAGAGTCCTGGCTGCTCTTCTTCCTATCCAGCTCTCTGATATGGCCTGGGAAGGCAGTAGATGGCCCAAGTGTTTGGGAGACCCAAAAGAAGCTCCTGGCTCCTGGCTTTGGATCAGCACAGCTGCAGCCATTGTGGCTATTTGGGGAGTGAACCAGCAGATGAAAGACCTCTGTCTCTCTCTATTTCTCTCTCTTCTCTGCTTCTGCCTTTCTATAAATCTGCCTTTCAAGTAAATAAATAAATTAGTTAATCTTTAAAGAAAAGTGTGATCAGAGTTAAGAACATATAAAATAAAATCTGAACACTCACCCCAGAGTAATTAAAATTTGTAGGATCAAGTTTACATTACACAGAAAATATTTTATTAATGAATCTTTTTTTTTTTTTGATCAGGAATTCAGTTGTGGGGCTCTGAAAAATGCTATGATTGCTGTAGGCAAGAATAATAGTGCCTTATAAAATAAAACACTATTAAGCAATGGACATCAAACTACTTAGATATAATCATTTCTATTTACAACTGGAAAAATTATAGAGGAATAAGAACCACTAACAATTTAGTTTTATATTAGTACATTAAATATGCCGCACATCTGACGTGTGATGTATTGTAGACTATATGTACACTATAATGGATGCACAGATACATTCTCAAGGTAGGAGTGCTTGTACACTCTCTTTTATTGATCAGGCAGTTCTTTCAGCCTGAATTTTCTGACCTAAAATTAATCTCAATTTCTAGTTTTAGACAAAAAACCATGAATTTAGCAATGTGTACTAATGTATTTAAAATGTTAATTCATTTAAACTATTCTGCTTCTGGCAAGCTGGTACATAGAGGAATGGATTTCTGCCCAAAGACATTAACTAAAACATAAGTGTTGAAAATCTAGCAACAACTTAAACATGTAACAGTCAGGAAATTGCTGCAATAACTGTGGCATGTCCACTTCACAAAGAAATACAGACATTAAATTACGGTTTTGAAATCTAAGTAAAGCAGGAAAAAGCATATCATACTGAGTAAGAAAAACCTGAAGAGTCGCAGTACACTTACAGTAATGTTTTAAAAAATTAAATGTAAATATAGGCAAAGAAATATACCAAAATGTGAATATATTAATGAGGATATAGATGGAGAGTAGGATTAGGAGTGTCTTTTCCTTTATCTGGAAAATGTACAAAACAGAAAGCAATAAACTTGCATTACTTTTATAATAACATAACAGAGGAAATCACTTATATTTTGCCAATGAACAAACTAAAAGAAAGTAGAAATAGTTTCTTTTAAAAAAATATGTAGGTTGATGAGCAACTTGATATGTTATCCCTCTTAGTATTTTTTTTGTTTGTTCTACTTAATACTTTTGGTTGAATACTGTAATCAATACGCAATTATTCTTAAGTGCTGAAACTTAACTGAAAAGTGATCACTGTTAAATACAAGAGTGGGAATAAGAGAGGGAAGAGATGTGCAGTTCAGGACATGCTCAAGCTGACTTACCTCAAACGGTAGAGTTAGAAACATACCAGGGGATTCCAATTCAATCCCATCAAGGTGGCATGTACCAATGCCATCTCACTAGTCCAAGTTATCAATTTCTGTTCACAATTGATCATAATGATAGGACTAAGAACCAAAAGGATCACATAAACAAGAATAGTGTCTGCAAATACTAGCTGATAGAATAAAAAAGGGAGAGACGATTCAACATGGGAAGTGAGATACACAGCAGACCTATAGAATGGCAGATGTCCTAAACAGCACTCTGGCCTCAGAATCAGCCCTTAAGGCATTCAGATCTGGCTGAAATGCCCATGAGACTATTTCAGGCATGGAAAGCCAAGACACTCTAGGGAAAAAAAACAAAAACCTAAATGAAAGATCTCTGCGAGTGAGATCCCAGTGGAAAGAATGG